CCTGAGCTACGGAGTCTTGGTGGAGGAGACGGCCCCTGCTGAACCTGCTGCGGAGGCATGGGGGGCAAGCTCCATCTTAGCTTCGAAATGAACTTACGAATGAAGTTTGAACAAAGGACATATTTGCCCTTAGACGAGTTGAGGCTTTGAAGCCTCCCAACACATGTTGGCGATGTGTTGGTCCTCATTCGTCTAAGCACGCGAGAAAGCTTCAGCAAGCCTTAAGCCTTAAACTGTTCAATCGTTAATTTCCTCTTTTTATGTTTATTGCATGGCCTTGCAGCACGACTGTTTTCGGAGCACGTCACCGGGTTACACACCCCTTCAGCGCGACTCCTTGAGAGCCCCCAAAGCCGTGGGTGGATGTAGCACGATGGATGGTAGGATATTGCGCGCAGGCTGTCCTGATTTCACATGACACACGCTGTGCCACACTTGCAAAAACAAGGCCGGTACCAAACCCATCGAAGGCCATTGACCCGAATGATGATTGGCAGGCTCCATCTGCGGAAGCTGCGCCGGCGACCGAGTAGGAACTGCCACAAGTGGCCTGCAGCATGTGGTATGTGGCAAGCTCTTGCTGGTGCAGGCCGGCGGGGGAGGGAGAGGCTGTCGGGGGTTTGACGAGCACAGCAGGTCTGGTATGTGCGAGGGCTTGCATATTAGAACCGTGACATCCGGCCAGAGGTCTGAGAAGGGCCCGAATCACACGAACCCTCCTCCTCCGACCAGGCGGCTCTGGGGGGTGAGAAGATTTTTCGCCGGCAAGCTGGCCCCTCGTGGCTCATAGAACCCCAAAATCCCACAAGCAGTCTGGGTGCTTGTAGATGCAGCATGATGCAGCGACACATCCTGTCCCCGCATGTCAACATCCGCACATGAACGACACTTCACTTGTACAAACAGGGATGCATTTGCCGAGGCCGACTCCCATGCACGTCAGTTCCCATGGGATAGTGGTAAGAAGGTACCCTACACAGGCAAACCGTCATGAAGCAAACATACCTTCTGCAACACTCAATATTTGAATATGCATCAGAACATGCAGTGATTTGCTGGCAACGTCAAGGAGTTGCCCCTGTCAGCGCAAAGCAAACACCGGCAATACTCCCCTGCATGTTAGGTCACCCCCCAAAAGAACGTGACGCCTGGTGAGGGATGGCACAAGCTTGACAAGTGATGGCAGAATGCAGAAGACAAGAAACTGAAAATGAAATTGGAAGATGCGACGTGGAAAGCAAGCCAGCGGCTGCACAAATTCCCACGAAGCAAGCGCCCATCTGGCGACGTGACCTTCCAACTATAATGGTGCGCTTCGCTTAGGGCATGCGTGTTGAACACGGTGTGTGCACTGTCTCATCCCCTGACCCATGCGCTCAGCAAGGGGTAGAGACGCCGAGATGCTCCGTTGATCGCATAATCCTACAAACCCTCATGCCGAAAGTCAACCATGCTGTGGCTAAGCAGGTGTAAGAAAGGAAGCAGTAAAAGCAGTCAAACCGTGAAAATAATCCAAGGCAGCCGCAGATTAAGGCTTCCAGCCACACAGGTGCTAAGGCGAAGCTGGGAGACAAGACGCGCTCGAGAAAATAATAGATTCGAATTGGGGTTCTTAGAGACTTTTGGGTGCGCCCTCCTGCAAGATGTTGGGTCTTCTGACACGCAATGCTTCTCGCAAGCTCAGACTCAGGGACTCTTGGGAGGCAAGGGGCACGCAGAGGCCTGGGTCTCACAAATATGCAGCTCACTAGCTTGCTAAGCAAGCCTCATGTTGCGAAGCAACTGCAATAAATCCTACTTGTGCCGGACGACAGCGGACCCCTATAAATCTTATTCTGCGAAACCCTAGGCTCGGTCAGGTTCGTCTGGCACAGAAACACAATTCAAACTAGGAGGCCAAACCATAAGCCGGTGACTCAGTCTATTCCTGGGCCACCACTACTGGCGCATCTTCGCCAAGTTTTGTCGACGTTTGAGTCTCCCGGCAGCTGGAGCATTCCAAAGGAACCGTGTCCTTGAAGCTTAACTTGTAGACAAACCAAGCCAATCATAGACCCAACCTAATGTCTACATCTGAAGACGAAAATGAGGATCTAGACCCTGCGGGTATCGACCCCGGATAGAACTCAAGGATGCAACTCCTACAAGAAGAGAGGTTAGAGTGCAAGTAGGGTCAGAAATATAGGCATATGAACACATACATTATGCAAAGGGCCCCCCCCCCCCCCCCCCCCCGCCAGGACCAGACACTGGTTTCGAAACCGCTGTCAAAAGCGAGCTGCGCGCGACATTTCGAAAATCCGAAGTGGATGATTCCTGGAGGGGTGCCCCCAAATCTCCGCCCCTCTAACAAAAAAGTGAGAATCTCAGATTTGTTTCTCAAGTTTTTGTTTTGTCGTTGTTTGGTTTGGGGTGTGTTTCCCTCGGGAATTTCAACCAAAAGCAAAAGTACCAAAACACCCAGCAACAAAAGCAAAAACAACGAGAGATTCTCCCGATAGTTTGCTTTTGGTTTTTGAGCCACTGCTGAGCAGATTGTTGCTAGGATTAGCAGAAAGAGCCATATCACGAGCCGAAAATCGGGGCTTGCTTTCACACGAGTATGGCCCCTACCTTCCCTTTTACCCAATAAGCAAAACATGCACTATCAACAGGGGTAGGAAGTATCACCATTGCGTAAAGGTAAGGGAGGTTGGGACTGAGAGCTCACTTTATCCCGGTAATGGTTTAACTTATTGCAGACCAACTGAGAACGGTTTACAAGTTTTCAGTTTGAACTCAAGGCCCGGGCCGCAATGATCAATGAGCCTGCGCCATTGCAAGCTTGCAAGCTTTGTGGGTTTCTACAAGCCTTGTTTCTGCTTTTCAGGCGAAGTTTTTGTGTCGGTCCGGACGGACTGAGGGGATTCACAAAATCAAAAGTGTTGCTGTTTAAGTTGTATCCATGCAATGAATATGTATTGTTAAGTTAGGCGAGGTCAGTCGCTGTGACTGCTAAATATGCATCGCTGGGTTAACACATGGCTTAAAATCGTCAAAGCATGGAAGGCTCTTCACTCTTAAATTGCAGTTAACGATGATGAACAGGGGCTAGCTTGTTGTTTGTAATTATAAAGCAAAAATAGCCTTGACTTCAAAACACAAAACATGGTTTCCTGTAAGCATGAACAGCATGATAGACACATAATGTTGTAATATTAATAGCACGTGAAAGAAACGAATCAAAAGAGCGTATAACAAACCCTAGCAGCAATATTGAATGGGTTTCTAATTCCATGTTTTTGCTTGTTTAGTTGAGTTAGAAGTTATAAGGAGTAAAGATATGCATGGAACAAACAGAGGCAACAAAAAGAGGTGCCACTCACCAAGGAGGGCACGACCAGGGGTGGCCACAGGGTTGCTTTAGATTTGTTTTAGGTGTTCTGCGCCTTTCTGTGCCAAGGGTTGCTTCCAAGAACTGGTTACTTGAGCTCCCAGCCTGGTCTTACAACACCGGCCCCACCATGAGTGAATTGAATGGTTTTTCAATTTCTGTCGATCTGTTTGACTTTTGTTTTGTCGTTCCCTTGTGTTTCTTTCTTTCTTTATTTCCTTCTTTCTTTATTGCTTTGTGTCTCGTCTCGGGAGAGGGTGTGGAGTAGCAACGCCCATTCATATGGCGATCATGCCCAAGCCACCGGCATGTACAGCGTACGTTGTCGCAGTAGCTGCTTTCCTTCATTCTCTTCGCAGCCTTTCAAGCAACGTGATCTGAAAATTGTGGTTGACTTTCAATGATGTTACGCAATCAACATATCTCTAATCTAAGTAGTGCTTTTCAGGAAGTTAACGGATAGAGCGCATAGAACAATACCAGTCGTGGGGGGGCGGGGAGAATATACACACATTATTATATATCTATATATAGTTTATTAATTTATTTCTCAAAAGAGAGAGAGAGAGAGAGAGAGAGAGAAAGATAGAGAGATGTATATGTGTAGTAGGTCTTTGTCGGGACCATGACCCGAACATGAATCCCAGTCCAGCCGGGTGTGCTCTCGCAAACATTTAGGCTTACTGAGGGATTTAGTCGATCAAGTCAAATGAACTTCTCAGCTACTCTTGATTGCAGAGGGCTTACGACATGGGTTTGCATGCGGTCTGCTGTCGTGTGTAGGAGATCTTTGGACCACCCCCGCCCCCATAAAAAAAAAAAAAAAACACTAATATGTATATGTATATGTATATGTATATGTATATGTATATGCATATGTATATGTATATGTGTATGTATATGTATATGTATATGTATGTAGTAATTTATAGAGCGTGGCACGAAGTCCACCGACAATCGCAGTATATGGACCAGGCACACTCTGCAACACGAATCGCTCTTTAAACACTGGCAGCCTCCAGAGCCGGCTCAGGCACCGCAACTTTGTTCATCATGCCGGTCATGATGGCCCCTCCCATATTGACCCCCTAGGCTTGGGGAGTCTTGATACGGCTGGACAAGTAAATCATGCGAAATTGGGTTCCCCAAACTTTCCCTTCTGTAGTTCGATGGAATTCGCAGCAATGCCAGGCGAGGAAGACAAAAACTTAGCATCGCTGACCGCTTTTCGCTTCCAGAGGCCCTATTTTTGAGGCGCAGAGGAGTCGGTTTTTGTTGATGGCATGGTTGTTGAGATCGAGCTGAGGCTTTGCAGCTCCAGCTGTCCCAGGCCCCGGGTTCTTATACTGCCCAAGCACCTCCCCAGATCTGACGACTCCGAGTTCAAGTTCCAAACCTTTCAGGGAGGGGCCTCGCATCCCCAATGCATGCGATTTCTGTGACCCCAAATGCAGATGAACTCTGTGGTTCGCAGGCTCAAGGTGCCGATGGAGCCCAAGGAACTCACCATTAGTGGCAAGTTGCGTGGCCCAAAACGATCCCAAACCCCAAGGCTGCCGGAACAGAAGCCCACCGAAGGCATGAAGAGATACGCCAAAAGCTTCTGCACGAACAGAGCACCTCTTCGATGAGGGCCGACCGTGGTGGCCTCCCAAAGGGCGGATGGCTCCCTCAGAGATTCTGGCCCTGCTGGAAGGAGCGGTTCTTCCCGGTTCTTCCAGCGGGAAGCTTATCGGAAGCTGAAGAAGTTCCAGTTGTCGCAGGTATTTCCAGTTGAACCACAACTTTACAAGCCACTGGTGTCCGCGGAAGCCATAACTTCTGCAAAGTAGGCTTGGAAGCCTTTGATCGTTCGGGGGCTTTAGGTTTTTGTCCTTTTGTCCTACTTATGAGTCAAGACGCTTAAGTTGGAGTGCTGACTGCTGAACCCTTTCTGTCTTAAGGCCAAACTGTCTCCGTGAGGATGTTCCCTTGGACCTGCGGGCCTTGGCGCTCTTCCGGCTGGCGCTAGGGGGTGCCTCCCTGGTGGAGGCCCTATTGGGCTGACCCAGACCTCTCCAACCCAAAATGACGTTGACGGTCTTGGGCCTGATAGACCCTAAAGCCTGAGTTCTTGGGTCGCAGGACTTCGGGATTCATAGGGCTTGGGGTTGTATTCGGGTTTAGGGTGCAGTGCCGGCCTCCTAAGCAGTGGGCCACTATCAGCTTCGGGCGTTCCTGAGCAACGTAGAGGCCGCTGCGAACGGGGGCAATTTGCAGAATTTGGGAACATGCGAAGCAGGTGACAGAGTTGATCTCACACCGGGCGGCTTTTCTGAACCCGAATGGTGCTCCTTGGCGAGAACTTGGTCAAAATTTTGGCTGGGGTATTTGGGAATTCGGTAGTTGACGGTTTCGTGTAAAAAGGGGCTCAGTGCTACCCTTAGACATCCTTGGACAAGCCCTAGCCTCAACCAGCTTTCGTTAGGAGGGCTGCCACCTCCCTACGTTCTGACTCGAAAGTTTCTCATCCATCAAGGAAATGCAGAACCGCCTGCTGAAGCTTAACCACTGACTACGAGATGCAAGCCTCCTTGAGGTCTGTCCGGTGGAGCACATCGCCAACAAGGCCATGTTTGTTCCTCTCCTTCATTATTTGGGTTGTCTTAAAACAGCACACGCAAGCCGCCCAAGCCCAAGCCTCACACGGTTGCTTTGCTTTCGCCAGCCTGCAGTGACAGGGTAGTTGACGGTAGCTGTGTCGAGTTTGCATCCGCGCAACTCCAACCGTTGTCTCCCTGTAAGAGCTCCAGCCTTGGCGGGCACCTGAGCGCGCAATGATTGGGGCATCTTCAGGTGCAAAGTGTAATGAGCGGGGCATCTGGCCAACTTTAATTATTTGGCTTGAAGCCGAGGCGGCCAGAAAAACTCGCAACGAAAATTGGCTGAGGACTTCTACCTGGCTGCCACTGGCTCCGAGGGCGTGCTGCTGATGCTGCTGCTCCTAAGCTGCTTTGGTTCTTGACATTTCTTGACCCTCACCCCCTCTCGCCTTCCATCGCTCCCGCTTCCGCTCTGCTCTCGCTCTCTCTCCGTCCTTCCCCCCCTCCCATCCCTCCCCTCCCTCCCCTCCCACCCCCCCTTCCCTCCCTGCCTCCCTCCCTCTCTCCCTTTTGTTTCCCTCTCGATCTCTCTCTCTCTCTCTCGCTCTCTCTTTCTTCTCTCTCTCTCTCTCCTCTCTCTCTCGCTCTCTCTCTCTCTCTCTCTTTCTTCTATCTCTCTCTCTCTCTCTCGCCGCTCTCTCCTCCCTCTTCTCTCTCTCCTCTCTCCTCTCTCTAGTGTACGCATGAATTAGGTGAGCGAATGAGCGAAGTGAATCCATTAATCAAAAGAGAGCACAGTTAACCGCCCACAATACTAGTAAAGGTTGTTGTACGTCTGTGGGTGAAAAGAGTGGGCGATTTTACAATCGACAGTTTTCATTGATGAAATGGGGCATATAGTGCGCCTTATTTGATTAAACTCAAGGCTGCTTTTATTGCTTTCCTAGCAGAAGGAGTCACAGGCAGAGGAGAGGCAGTGGGAGCGGAGAGAGGGCAGGCGCACACGTGCCGGTGGGTGAGGCAGCAGGCATGACAGACATCCAGAATGATTGCGAATGAGAGCCCCGTCTGAGCTCCTGGCCTAACTGTTACTACTGTTACTAACTACTGGTTATGATGGGTTTCGTCTCGGTTCGAGGGTGGGGCCACTGAGGATAAACATGACGGCGTCGTTGTGCTTCATGCTGGGGCTCTGGACACGATTATCTGGCCTACTTTGCTGGAGACTTGTGCTGCAATTCTTTCCCCCACCTGGGGGTTCTGTTTCGGTGAGCCACCTAGTTGTTCAACACATATGCAAGGATTTTCGCCATGTCCCAGCAGCACCGCCTCAACAACTGTGCAGCGCGAGCGGCACTGGCACATGGTTTCCATTTCTGAAGATGTATTGTGGAGCTGAGACCCTGAATCAGACAGACTGAAGCAGAATCCCGAGAAAGCAAGGTGAACTACTCCGGAGATGCGCTCCGCACTTGCCTGCTCTTCTGGGCGCTTTTCCAGCCTTTGAATGACGGGAGCTAAAATCAGGGCTCTGATCGGCTACGGGGGTGAAACAAGGTTGTACTTCAAATGCTTGTACATGGCAGGGGATGCTACAAACGGGCCTGTCTGGATAAGTCGGTAAGTCTTGTGCTTGTGCTACGCGAGGAGGTTTGGTCATTGGATGCGATCGCCGAGTCTTCGAAGCGGCGTGTGGATCCCGAGACGGCTCAGGACAAGGTACGAGGGGCAGTTGAGGTACTTGTACTGTAGCACTGTAGGTCCTGTAGGTCGCAGGTTCATGTGGCAACACCTTAGTACTCCTATCTCGCAGAAGCCAGGACTCGCGCGACAAGAACCAAAGCCGAAGCCAGAACTTGCACGGCAAGAACCAAAGCCCAGACAGCCCTATACAGGTTCTCCGGACCACACTCCCCAAATCAAGTTGTCCCTCTCCCGGGGCCATCAGCTCATATCAGCCCAACGAAAGCCTGAAGAAATGGCCACCGCCAAGTTCAGGTTGAAAGCGTGCGGGCACCGGCGCCGAATCTCCGCGAGCGGTGGAGGATGCGGGGGCCTGGGGTGGGCGGGGGGGAGGGGGGCAAAACGCACGTGGCCTTACACCTCACACTTCGAAAAGCCCACGCGTGGGCATGCTCTATCCGTTTTCTGGGGCACAGGACGACGGCAAGCTCGAACATGGGCGCCATGCACTACGAGGAGGCGAATCCTGCTTACACCCACCCCTACACAGCCCAACACCAAGCTTCCAAAGACTCGAGACAACAACTACCGTATTAGGTTCACATACTGCAGGGTCCAGCGTGATCCCCTTAGCCATTTCTTCTTGGGGACCGACAAAGCGTCGCCCTGAGTTCTGCTCTTCACCCTTGAAACCGCAAACCGCAACACCTCCCTCAGCAACTAAACTTCGTCCCTTCAGGGCGAGCACCATGATGACAGAAAGGATGCTCGGTCCGGGTCTTACTGGTTTGCAAAGTTAAGCTTTTGTTGCAGACCGTCAGCGCGGGTCACTTTTTTGCCCACGTTTAAGTTGGATGCGTGTTTGGCTGTTGAGGGCATCTGTTTTATCTCCACCCTCGATTCGTGGGACTGTTCTGCAAGTTGATTCCCGGTTCTTGGAGGCACGAGCTGTTCGGTAACCTGATTTCAGAGGCCGAGTATCAGCACAGCAGCCCCGATGTGCTCTTTCCTGCTCCTCCTACAACTGGCATCGATGTGCCTTGGCTCCAGGAAGATCCATCAGGGCAAGAGGGGGGACTGTCCTGAGTGACCTCAGTGTTCGTTGTGGAGCTGCTAGATCAGGCCCTTGGCTGCAGTCTCTTTTTCAGAGGCTGATTCTTGCTGCTGTTGTAGAAGCTGCAATCCGCAAGGAGAGTTCCAGATCTGATTCGGATGCCCTGTCTTGAGAGCGTCGTCCGTCTCCCAGGTACGAATACACAGCCGCAACGAAAGCGTCCTAGAAGCAAATCAGAACACCGAAGAACCACACCTTTCCACAAAGTCTTGAGGGGAGTTATTTCCAGATGTTTCGGCTCCAGAGTTCAAGGGTGGCACCTGACGGGAAGCCCTGGTTGGACAAAGGTCGGAGGAGGAGGAGGAGGAGAAGAAGGATAGACCCAAACCCACCAACACACAGAAGGCTTTCATCCTGCGTGCGGTGTGCCCACAAAAGACCTGACAGAACTTGAACTTCTACAATACCTGAGCTGCGAATTGTTCACAGTCAGTGTCGAAACTCCTGTGATTGAGAAACTCCAACTTTCAAGGGGCCTGTAGCCACGCAGGCATGCAACCAAAGAACTCTTCGTCTTTGAAGTTCCAAACGCTCCATACACCCCAATGTACATCTTTATACCCTTAGAACATCTCAGAACTACAGGGCAGCAAACGCAAGAGTGACAGGGCCACTTCAGGAGCAATTCGGACAAACAGCGGCGAACTTCTTATTGTGTACCAGCGAACTTATTGTGTACGCAGTGAACCACACTCCATAAGCCCAAAACACGATGGCCTTTAGCCTGGACATTCTTGACCGCCAGAATTCAGGTGGGAACCACCTGGCAACAGGGTACTGCCGTGCTTCAGACACTGCACTTGAGGCAGTTTGCCCGGGAGCCCGTGGCAGGCCGGGTAGGTAGTGGATACCTTTGGACCCAACCTTGACAAAGATAAGTCATACAACAAACGGGGGTCCAGAGCAACACCAACCCTCGCCGTGAAGTCCGCCCTGGGCATTTCCTTCTATTCAGCAGAGGATATACAGAAGGGTTACGAGGGTTACTAGTGCCCTAGAAGGCCTAAGGTGCCCAGAGCTATCCAGCCCTTTGCAAAACTGCACTGGTCCTGTCTATTAGAATTCTTGCACGACCGTCAGATTCATGGTTTCTGACCTGACCACACATGGGCCGCACCCCGAAGCCAAGCACTCCCCAAGGCTCACGGCATCTCAAGGCCCTCAAGCCCGAAATCGGGTTCTGTGTTAGCAACTTTAGCTCTTCTAGATACAGCACCAACCCTGAACCTCAGACCATATAGCCGATTAGTCGAATGTGAACAGTCGGAACCCTTCAGCCCTACTTTCAGCCCTACTTTCAGCCACTTTGGGCCCCTTGGAAGCTGAGGCATGCTGGCGCTGTTCCCATCGCTCTGTCGGCTCCTGACGCACTCCACCTGGCAGCTCGCTCTTTGAGTCACAGACTCTCTTGAGATTCTGTTCGATTCTGCAAGCTTCCCTCCATGTGCTTCCCTCCATTCCCTCCCAGTCTCCAAAAGCAGAGGTATGTGGAGAAGTTTGGCTGGATGCTGGCCTTTATGCCGTACCCACTTGCAAGAATGGTGGCTTCAGAGACAGAAAGTCAATTCTCTGAGGTGTTATGCCGATGTCACACAGGGTCTTAGCACTGTCTTTGCCCTCAAACGATCGATCAAACGATCTCGAGTCAGGTGGCCTTCTGCCTGTTCTTCGGCCTCCATTTCGGAATGAATTTGGCCTTGCGTGTGGGCAACTTCCAGCTTTTTGCGATGAGCGGCTGGTTAGTGGTACTTCCGCGCGGCGTGCTTGACTGGCTGGAGGCTTTCCACGCGGAGTTTTTCCAGCACAGTTCGCGGAGGTTCCGGTGTTTTGGCTCTTCAGGATCAAGCATGTTGAGCAGTATCTTTGGGAAAAGGCTTCCAGGAAATTGGACTCCAACATCCACTGAGTCCGCATCCGTTTTGTTCTTGAGGCATACGAACATGGCATAAAGGTTTTGAAAGAACTTTATTTGGGGTTCCTGTCTGGCGATGAAGCAGGGAACGACCCATCAGCAGCAAAGTCAACCCTCCCCCCTGAAAACCATCAGGATGACACTCGCAAATCGTGAAGGGGCAAACAGAAAAATCTCAGTTCCAGGCCAGGCTCCTCCGCAGCTGGCCGGCCACACGGGCGCTGGGGCCACGGGAGAAGCTGAACTCAAGCTCTAGGCTGGAAAGTCCTCAGGTTTTTTTGCAGCTGCCTAGAGGATGTGACGAAAATTGGGGACGAGAGCTCTTGAAATGCTTCGATGATGCTAACCAACGGAAGCTGCCAAGGAAGGCTTCGACGCGACTCCAGAGCTGGCAGCACGTTTTGCATTCAAGGGGTGCTCTTTCAGACTTTAGAGGAACTTTGTGGTAGCTTTCAGGGTTTGGGGCCTGGTGTTTGCGGCCTTCAGACGATTTGCGAGTACTGCCGTCTAATCACCAACATCGCAAACTGTAGCCAACCTGCCGGTAAAGCCCAGGCCGCAAAATCAAGAAAGATAAACCCACCGCCGACACGAACTTCCAACCACAACGGCCAGACTCCAAAAAAAGAAAGCAGAGTCCCAACACGTCAATTGACTCAAGACGCATTCCGGCCATGGATTCTCCGAAGACAACCATACAACAGCCTGTGAGTTGAGGAGAATGGTGAAAAAGCCGTCAGGGGCCCGACAGATTCCAAAGCCAAGGCTGGGGCTGGGCGTCCAGCTCATCGGCTTCGCCCTTATGCTGCTGACTTTGGCGGAAGGGTGCAGATTCCGAGGGGACGCTCGGTTTTGAGACATTCCCTGAGACCGCCACGGGCCACCGCCCCCTCGACCCCCAGCCCGAGACTTCAAACACGAAATGAGGAGATTGGGGGAGCAAGAAAACAGCGGCCGAGGAGAAGTGCTCCCTGCGGCGCCTCGCGCATTGGACCCCGAAGGCGGACATGTGGCTGGCCAAACTTGCCTCTCAGCATCTCTCAACACTTCCATCTTTTGTTAGCAGCTTTGTGGTTCTCAATTTAGGATTTGGCATTTGGCCGCGAGTGCTAAGTCTGAGAGTTTTTGCTGAACTGTTCCGGCAAGGACATCATAGCCCGAATGCAGAAAGCAAGGTTTCTCTGTCACGCTTAGACGTCGAGAGAGTGGAGATGGGTTTCAGGGGCTTGGGATGCAGAGTTTTTGTGTACAGGGCTCAAGAAGTTTCAGGGTGGAGGGAGGGGTTTAGTCGCAGCATTGACGGCGAAAACGGGTGCATGGGGTTGAACGGCCTTGCATTTGAGGTATACAGGCTAGGCGAAGGACTCCTGCGATCCCCAAGCCCAAATCATACGGAACGTGTTCGACCCCACCACCCCTCCCTGTCCGAGGCCTTGAACCAGAGATGCCAGGTTTGCCTTTGGCACAGTGTTTTGTTTTCAGAGAGAGAGAGAGAGAGAGACAGAGAGACAGAGAGTAAGAGAGAGTGAGAAAGAGAGCAAAGCATAAAAAAGAGAGCAGGACTTTTGTTGTAGACGGGATTGAAGGGCCAACCCAGGATGGAACATGTTCTCCCCGGATGCACCCTTCAAGTCCCTGCGGGTGGAGCTTTTTGGCATCCTGGACGCACCGCACTGCCGAGGCCAGATGTGAGGTCGTTCCTTCTTGGAATCGAAGCCCGAGCGACAGCAGCAAGATATCACAGAACCATAGAGAACCTGCATCTCGAGTCGACAAAGTTCCCAGCTGAGCCACGAGCCCCTGCGAGAGAAGGTGACCTGGACAGCTTCTGGCAGCACTGCCCAGTTGTGGAGCTCTGGTCAGAGAAGGGTTTTGGAGCTCTCAGAACAGCAACGTGTTTTCCTTTAAGTGTTTTGGTTTTAGTATATTCCAGGACCGTTTAGGACTTGAAGTTCCTGCTTGGCTTTCTGTAGGTCCATCGAACCCATTCATATGAGCGCAAGCCCCCTCCTCGGCCAAGCTCACGATGTCGGTGCGTTTTTGGCAAGCACGACGAGACAAGCCTTGGGTTCCGGTTGGAGGTCTTACACATATGTACACGTCCGCAGGCACTTACACTGAAGCTTTGAGACCCTCGAAACCTTGAACGGGCTGTCTTTGACGTTGTTGGCGTTTGACTTGCCCAATGCTTGGGGCACTGTGGGCACAAGGCTATCCATCCTTCTCGTCCCACGTCTTCGCCGACCTCCCACACTGGGGCAACATCTCCATGCCGGCCCCCAAGAGAGCGCCTCAGACTTGCAAATGGCTGCGACTCAACGGTCCAGCGTGCGCCCTTTTGCGGCATCGAGGTTCTTAACAAAGCCGTTCTCTTTGCGACAACCCCCTTCCGCGACAAGCGCCCCCCTTCCATCAGGGAGGTACACAAGATGCGTGCGTGACATACGTTTGAAACAACGGAGCAGGATACATATCGTAACAGAGGCTGGGTGGCGGGACCCTGACAGCGGTAGAAGCTGCATCAATCGTGTATAGGAATATTTCGAGGACGTAGTACTCGAAAACATGGTTTTTTCCCAGTCCCCTAGACTCTGCGTACTAAGAGCACACACCTGGAACGGTTCCCTTCCCGTCCTCAACGGTTGAACAGAAAGTGAAGAGCCACGCCCCTTCAGGCTTGTCATCCAGGAACCGAGGGGTTCACCAAGTTCAACCCCCTCATGAAGCCCCCAAGTCCTTGGGACTGCAATCCCACAATCCTTCAACGCCACCTCAGCTATTGGGTCTTAGGAATTCTCATGGTGGTACGGCAGTGGTGCGTTGTCTATGTTGGCCTACAAGGTTCGAGGTGGTGCAAGAACACAGCACGAACACCTTATCAGCAAGCTAGACAAATAACCTCCAATCGACCGCCCGTATTTGATTTGAGATCTACAGATCTTGATGGCCTCTGTCGCTACGGCCGCTAGGGTCTGTGCACTAGGACGCATTCCATGCAGTCCACTCCAGAGCTGAAGGAGCAGCCAGGATGGCGAACGAGGGTGCAGGGTCCAGGGTTGATTGCCACGCAACAGTGTGACGACCCTTCACCCTTGACACACAACCTCTGTCTTTAGGAGTTGTTATTCTGGCTTAAGAGTTACCGTCGCTTAGATAACAGTCCTAAACCTGCCAGGATAGAAGTATCAGGGCTCCGTGGGGTAGATGTCTTGCGGGAGCGAAAAGCAGGCCCTATCTGGTGGCTACAGTGGCTACTAGATTAACTTGTAGCAGCGCAACACAGCGGAAGCGAGTGTTTGTTCGGTTGGGACGCCCATACCATGTCATATGGTAGTGTTGTACAGCACCATCATGCGCTTGAATATGCTAGAACACCATCCCAGGAAACTTGTACGGGAGGGGTGGCTCTCAGAATTGCATTGGGGCAAAGGTAAACAGCAAATCAAGAAGTGATACAAGATAGTATGTATTCTGTGGCCCTAGCTACTGAATTCCAAGATCACTATTTAACCTACAGTATTACATAAACAGCATAAAGTCCCCCAACTCTGCATTTTTAGAACAGAAATCGATGCTGCACCTGGGAAGAATCGGAGCCCCAGCTTCCTCTGCCGATAGTTTTCATGGGGGTGACGAGATGAAGGTGGACTTTGCCACGAATCGCTGGCGCAAGCTGGTGGAGGATGTAGACCACAGCATGGGTCTGGGAGGGCGCCTCGGAATCGAAACTTGTTGTGCGAGTCGTTTTATGGAGACTTTGAGAATGTGCAAAGGCAATCCTATGGAAACCCCAATCAGAAGAGAACCCCCCGAATATAGTAGGTGTGTCATCGTATGTCGTTTGCATGAGGTACAAGGACCCCTATGTTGTCACGAAATGGTTGCTATCTTCTTGGAGCTTCCTACTGGTTTCCGCAAGTCTACTGTCTGTGCTCTACCGGAACTCTCAAGTGATTGTAACTGTATGCTTTCTCGGACATGGAATCACGAAACGGAGCGCGAACTCTATCAGTTGTACAAAACGCAGTAGTTCTTGGGAGGTACTCCTGCTTGCAGTGGCGGGCCAACAACCCGAAGCGGAACCTGCTGGGAGTTTGGCTCGTCAGAGCTCGCTCCAAAGTGCCGGAAGAGGCCTGCGACTTAGGGCAACGGTCGCCGCCTCTCGGTTTGCCACATTCTGCAGGTCTTAACGCTGTTTGGCAGGTCACGGGCATGATTTCCACAACAGGCACTGACCTTTCTCGATGGCCAACGAAAGCATCGCTTTGTCTCGCATCGCTCGGTTCTTTAACGCATCGATCCGCGTCCACATTGGGGAACGGCACTCCCCAGAGCATACAGTATCTCTTATTTGTCGAAGTCGGCCTCGTTGTCATCGATCGGCGTCCACATTGGGGAACTGCATTCCCCAGGGTATATCTCCTGCTGCGTCAAAGTCGGCCTCGTCGTCATTTGCACAGCATCTACATGGTCTTTTGCATGTTGGCATTGGCATTGCTTACTACCCAACTACAACTAGACCCTCAGCCCAAAACCCGACACATCGATCGGCGTCCACATGGGGGAACTGCACTCCGCAGATTACATCTCTTGATGTGTCGAAGTCGGCCTCGTGCAGGCTTCTACATGTCTTCGGGAATTGCGAGGTAAGTAACGGACGATTGCTGGGGGTGGTCTCGGTCACCCTGATCGCCGCCGCGACATCGACCAACCCCCCGGCATTTTAGGTTTAATCGAATCTGGGATTCCTCAGATAGTTGATTTTCTAGCGTCTGACTGGTGATTAGCTGTTGAAACATAGTGAAAATGCACCGCTGAAAACGCTGGTGTCCGCAGCAAATCCGGCAGTTTTACCCATGTTGGCTGTTTGCTTGAATTCCAGCATCAACTTGGGGATTGCTGTGTCCTGATGTGTACTTCCGCCGCTGATGCGTATTCCCGCTATGTAGCGTCTACAACGGGGTGATGTGTATTTCTCGCGACCTTATGTTCGAAACCAGAAGAGGACAGACCGGCCTCGAAAAGCAACACGTCGCATAAAGCGAACCTTGACACCAGAAGGAAAGCCCAGTACAACCAAACTTTACGGCCCCGCACAAAGATAACACAAGACAGTACAATTAAACAACACTAAGCTCAGAACATCTTGCAGTGTGCGGGTGGGAAGGACTTGTTTCTACAAGAAAAGAAAAGCACACATAAGCCCGCAGCTAGTGAAATGCCTTAAGCGAGCATGCCATAGAGCCCTCCTAGAGGAGACGCTGGTCGGTGCCTTTCGGCACTGGTGCTCGCCTGCAGCAAAGCCAGTAATCCAGAGCCTGCTCCTCGACTGCAATTTTTTTTATGTCGGGAAAGGTAGGCGTCGAGGGGCTGCTTCAGGATTCCAGGCCGACATGTCATTGGGCTTGGGGAGCTTGAGTTGTGCCGAGCTCTTGAGCATGAACCACGGACGCGAAGCTTGTCAGGAGCAGGTTCGACTTCCAAAGGGCTTCCGTGCCAGTCTCTGCCCACACAAGTTTCCCCAAAAGGCTCCGAAAGCCCAACCTCGAGTCGAGATCCGCGCCAAGGCCGAAATTGCCATGGGTTAGCTGAGCCGCGCTGGCCTTGCCCATGCAGAATGTGCTGAGGATGTGTGTCATGTGCCTCCCGAGTCGCCGTATTTCGCGTTCCTAGGGGGAGGGCGCAGAGCTTCGCAAAACCTTTCGAGCACTTGAATCGCATGCCGCTTGAGGGCTTGGGTGCTTCAGGGGAATGCAAGAAGGTAGGTGTTGGGGACGGAGTCGGAGAGAGAGTCTTTGGGGGGGTTTTGGGGTCGAAAGTGCACGGCACATGTTCCTGGTGAAGGGTCACATAAAAGGCAGGGCCCCATTATTTTGGGCTTGGAAGGTTTGGCTGCCATCGCCTTCTGATTGGTTACTTTGTGGAAATCCAAAAGGGCGGGTGAAAACTGTTTGCACGGCTGCGGCGTTTGGAGCCTTGGGGCCTGACGGCTTTATCTGCGGTGAGCCTAGCTGTGCAGGAGGAAAAAGACAAAAAAAGTTCGCAACCTATCACAACCCCTAAACCGACTCATCCGCTCCTGAACTCACATCGTCTGAAATCCAGCTCGATGTCTCGGGCAAGATTGACCTCCGGGGCTAAAAACAACCACCCGCCACATGCCAAAAGCCGCCGAAAGAAACAGAGACGAGCGGAAGAGTACACGGAGGCTTCAGGAATCAGGGCTTGCGCCTTGCTCCTTTCATCTTTCCGACCTTGCGCATGCTGCAATGTCAGCTGTTCTCCAATGACGTCGTTGAACACTTGCCAGGGGTTTTTTGTGCGTAGAATTTGACCTCCCTTCGGGGAGGCGTCGTAACGAGGGTCACATCCGACGTTTAATGACTCTTCTTGTCGGGGTCCTTCATTGCCATTGTGGACTTTGCACACGAATGGGATTCATGGTTCGCTTCGTGATTTGGGAGTTGTTTGCTTCGTTGCTTCTGTGGCTTTAGGGATGTACGACGAGAACCTGAGCAGCAAATCCTGCATCAGATGATGGCGCTTGCACTTCGCCGATGTTATCGCCTCCTTTCGCTCTGGCTCCAGAGTCCAGAATGGTCTTAACCGCCTTGAATGGAGACCTCTATAGTGCCTTCGCTTCCGAAGGAATGAAGGCGGGGCGCCTGGTAGACTCTGCAGCGGTCGGGGGGGGGTGTAGACCTTCTGGGTTCTCAAGTCCGGGGCCTTATGGTTCAGGGATGAGGGGCTCTAAAAGAATTAGTGCGTCCATGTACTTTCGTTATTTCTTGTTCGTGTCTTGGCATGTAGTTTCACTCATGGCTGCGCTCCTGAATGTAAGGACATATTGCACTCAGCAGCGAAAGTAGGGAGCTTTGTTTGTGCCAGAACCAAGCAAACCATTCAGAAACTCCAACCGGACCGAAATCACTGGATCCTTTGCGCGAAGCAGCAAGTTCAGTTTGTTGTCATTGCTCGGTATGTGTGTGTGTGTGTGCGCGCGGCCAACCTGTCGCCCTTCTCGTTGCCGATGCAAGATGTCATAATAATATGTGATGCCATGTAGCATGGTTCGTCTGGTGTCAGGGGTGCCTGTCAAAGGAGCTTGCGACATGTAATCACGAACGTTTTTCATACGCAATCTCAGCTGTGAGAAACAAAAAGCAAGGGACACCGACAAGAGACAGAGACACTGGCCGGGCACCTACGCAACGTTGCCGAGCGAGCGAGGGACTGTGACCATATGACCGCAACCAAAGCGGATGCCGACCAGGAGCGCGAGCGGGACACCAACAGGACGAGCAGTAAGCAGGGAAACTGACCGGTGTGGCATTCAGGCTAGGAAACTCGTAGACAACATCATAAAACTCAACATTCCCCCACACACTGAGCAATGACACCTGGTCACCTGGCATCAGGCCGCATCAACTTTTCAAGACGAGCTGAGAATTTTGATCGCCAGGCCAAGTCCGTGCAGGTTGCAACTTTGAGGGGTCGAACGTCATAGTCGACGATAAAACCCCCAAGTCCCAATCCTCAGTTGTCTAAGGGTCTAGCAGAATTCAACCTTGTTTCCTGGAGTGCAGCTTGCCACCGTGCTCAGGCAGCAAGCAGATGTCGTCAGCATGGCAGAGGCTTTCTGGCCAGACTTGCCCCTTTTAAGACTGGCATCGGTTTCGTTGTAGGTATGGGTTGACGGTTGAAGTTTGTGGTAGAAGCGTAGCAGGCTTTTCAAGCTCCATGAACTGTCTGAGCCACTTTGGGGGCCTCTCCACTTTGGGAGTGCGGGTTAGTCAGAAGTCATGGTGACTTAGGGTCTTGCGGAGTGGTTGCGGCATCTGGGAACTCAGAACTTCAGACTGCTCCATGTGCCCAAATTGGGTTTTAAAGGTCAATCCAAATCCTTCTCAGGTGCCCCTCGAAGTTGCAATTTGCCCTTTCCTGCTCTTGTCTCCTCGTCTCTCGCACGCGAAGCAACTTTCTCGAGGTGCACCGTGCCGAAATCGAAACGGCGCTGGGAGCATTCACGAGGACCCGAATCAGAAAGGGCGCGGGCAGTGAGGAAGTCCCTGGATCGTTGGCCGTTGTGTACAGAACAGCTTTTAACGAAGAGCCGCCTGTCGGTTGGGTAACGTACAGTTTGACCCGGGATCACGTTCGCTCATGTGGTTTCGTGCACACCTCAGATTGCCTTTGGTGTTCCGCGCGGGATTCCAAAAAACAGGAACCAGCTCGACCAGACCAGACCCATGAATTTGCAGCGCTTGCAATCTTTACATCCTTGTCGAGGCGTATGAACACACTGGCTTGGGACCTCTTGCAGCGTACCATGCAGCTGTGCACTGGCCCGTTTCCGTTACCTTGGCGAAACTGCCGAGGCCCATGGCTCTTTCGCAGCCCTAAACTTTTGCTGACCTCTACGGCTCAGACGGCTCGGAGAACCGGCTTGCTGAGGCAAAGCCATCTTCGAGTTACCAATGACCGTTGCCCTAATTCTGGGTGAAGATGTGAAGAGATCTGAAGAGGCGGGTGTCGAGATATCGGTACGCGGACGCGAAGATGCGACATGTTCGGCGTCGGCGGGCCGGGTGTCATCGCCTTTATTTACCTTATAATTCGGCACATGAATTTGGCTTCACTTTAGTATGCGCAAAGCTCGCGTCTTAGGCTGTTGTAGCATGGCCACACTTACAAGCAGAACTGGAACCCTGTGAACTCATACATTGCTCCTTGGCTAGCTGTTTCTGCTGGCTTGTCACAAGCCTGGCTTCTTGGCTGGGGTTGGGAACTTCCCATTTTCCAGTGCCCTATTCAGTCTACAGCCCCTGGAAAGCCGAAGCTAATCTCTTGTCCCTTGCGTCCAAGCACCCTGGGCCTCAAACCAGCTATCCTGAAGTTCAATTCCAAGCCCTGAACAGGGCCACGGCATCGAAGACGAGCACCGCTACGAGCGAGATTGTGGAAGAATGCCCGGGGCTGAGGTTTTGGGGCCCTTGGGGGGAGGGGGTTTGAGATGAGGTGATTTCAGAAACAGTAGGCCAGAAGACCCTCTTCCTTCCAGTTCTGGGTGGAGGACCTCTGGTTTACTTTTTCGACCTGCCCCAAGCGTAGGATGAAAAGTGTGTTCTAGGAATGAGCTCTCGATGCACTATCCAGATGTGCTTGCAGCACAATCCCAGTTGCACTGCTGCTGGGCGAAAGTTGCTTTTGTCGTACCGGAGAAGCCGACCTCAATGTGGAGTCCAAGAGCCTCCAACACCAGTGCCGGGCAGGCCTCCAAGACACTCCAACTCACATTGAACCAGGTTGACAAGAATTTGGTCCTTGAACGCACCAGATATCAGCAGACAGCAGACATGTTCAATGTGCCAGGCCGCATGCTCTCGCTGGGTACGATCAAGGCTGTGGAGCAGCCGATGATGCCGGAGCAAGATTTGTGTTTCGTGGGTTGTTGAAGGGGCTTTGGTGGGTTTTGAGGCCTTGTGGTCTGTTGGCTCCATGTTCCCGAAAGATTGTCGAGGAATGTCCTCATCTAAAAGCAATCTAAGAAAGCCCGGGCTTTTCTAGATGCACTGTCGCAAAGGGGCCCTTCCACCCAAAATGCAGGACCAGTCGGACCCTGTCCCGGAGGCGCCCATGCAAGAGCAGGACCTATGCATTTTGGATTTTGGGCATTCTTGGGCATTCTCGGGCAATGCATTCTTCGAAAGTGCTAGCTAGGCCTAGGCGGCTCAGGTTCGAGTTCTTGCGATCGGTCAACAAGCTGAAAACCGGGCTTCAATTTATCCAGCGCAGCATAAGGGCTGCGGAAGGGTATGGAGTCCTGAGTTCAGCAGGCAGTCTCTTTGGGGGACGGGATGCAGTCATCAAGACGATCTTCGAGGGGTTCACTCCAAAGGGTGCCGGTATGTGTAGGCCAATTTGCGTTACGGCTTCCCTTTTTCCCCCAAAACGAACTCAACGCGGCCCTTCGAGTGGAGCTTTGGCCATGGGTTCGCTGGTGTGCAGGTTTCAGGGATCAAGGCCTCGAAGGACTCCCACAGTAGCGGTTTCTTTTGATGCCGACAGCCCCTCTAGACCCTAAACTCCTGAAACCCCGTTGTGAATGCGCTGCAGGAGTTTGGAGAAGCTGAGACACTGGTCTTTGTGGGTAAAGAAGGAGGAGAGTGTAGCCAGCACTGCCCAAACCCAAATTCCCGTAAGCAAAACGGGTTGAAAAAGGGCCTTTAAATGCCAGGCGCATAGAAGTGCTGGTAACAGAGCAAATTCCGAGGGAAACAAAAGCAGGCTTGGAGCTGACAGCGCTCATGAGGGTCCTTTGATCAGGTTGTTAAGGGTTTCCCATCATTTTTGCTCACTGGACATGACATTCTCAGGCTGCCACGTAGTGCAGCAAACAGCAGCTCAGGCTGAGAAACGCGAGCACAATCTGACAAGTCTTGTAGTCCATACGAAGCGCTGTAGATAATGGTTGCAGTCCAAGGAATGGCAAAAAGCGCCCATCGCTGAGCTCCTCAGGCAGATTGATTGAAACATGCACATACTTCGGGCAGGACGTTTCATTACTACGAATCTGGTTTGATTTTGGGGTT